GTGCACGTGTGTGTACCCGCGTGTACGTACGTGTACGTGCGTGTACGTGCGTGTGCCCGCGTGCACGTGCGTGTACCAGCGTGTACGTGCGTGTACCCGCGTGTACCAGCGTGTACGTGCGTGTACGTGCGTGTACCCGCGTGCAGACGCGTGCACACGCGTGTACGTGCGTGCACGTGCGTGTACCCGCGTGCACGTGCGTGTACCCGCGTGTACGTACGTGTACGTGCGTGTACGTGCGTGTGCCCGCGTGCACGTGCGTGTACCCGCGTGCACGTGCGTGTACCCGCGTGTACGTGCGTGTACGTGCGTGTACGTGCGTGTGCCCGCGTGCACGTGCGTGTACCAGCGTGTACGTGCGTGTACCCGCGTGTACCCGCGTGTACGTGCGTGTACGTGCGTGTACCCGCGTGCACGTGCCTGTATCTGCGTGTACGTGCGTGTACGTGCGTGTACGTGCACACGGGTACACGCACGTACACACGGGTACACAGAGATACACGCACGTACACGCGGGTACACGCACGTACACGCACGTACACGCGGGTGCACGCACGTACACGCGGGTGCACGCACGTACACGCAGATACACGCACGTACACGCGGGTACACGCACGTACACGCGGGTACACGCACGTGCACGCGGGTACACGCACGTACACGCACGTACACGCACGTACACGCGGGTACACGCACGTACACGAACGTACACGCACGTACACGCGGATACACGCACGTTCACGCGGGTACACGGAGATACACGCACGTACACGCGGGTACACGCACGTACACGCGGGTACACGCACGTACACGCGGGTACACGCACGTGCACGCGGGCACACGCACGTACACGCGGGCACACGCACATACACGCGGGTACACGCACTTAGCTGGGAAACGCCGGCCGATTGCGTTCCTAGCAACGTACGCGCTACCGCGCCTTCCGTCATGCCTCTGTGCGCATGTGCAGTAGGTATACGTTTGATTTGGCGATGGACGGGCCTCGGCAATTGCTCGATTGACGAGCCTCGGCAATTGCTCGATTGACGAGCCTCGGCAATTGCTCGATTGACGAGCCTCGGCAATTGCTCGATAGACGAGCCTCGGCAATTGCTCCATTCCATGATTCAATACGCCTATTCAGTATTCGTGCCTTTGATTTGTCAATTTCAGTCGTTTAATCATTCAAACGTTCAATTGAGCAATTGCCAAAATAACGAATTGCTAAATTGAATCGCCGAATTGACGATTTGACGAATTGACTTCAATTGAACAATCAATCGATCAATTGAACGTTTGAATTATTAAATTGACTGTTCAATTGAACAAAATTCGTCAAATCGCCGGCAAACGAGAGCGATATTTACTGAGTCGTCCAACTCAGCCGCCCGACTCTCAGCCGGTCGGCTCAATCGCATGAAAAATCGGCTAGTGTGTCCACAGCTTAAAACGCAGTGAATACGACTACCACAAAAGACGTAATAAGTACCGAGGCTGTATATATAATTACCTGCATCATCGCAAGCCATGGCACTATACACGGTAGCTGCCGTCTATCTGAAACCGACTCTGATTATAGAGCTGTCACAAAGCGCACATCTTGCACGATTCTGATTAAGTAGGAGATTTTCATCTGAGATTACGTGTGATCACGCGCCGGTCTTCCTGCTATGTCATTAATGGGGATAAATATAAACGTTCTGCACTTCAGTTATCAAACAGATTCGTTTACGACTCGAAACGAAAACTTGAAGTTTGTCAAATTGGCTTTCATAGAACAGCTCCTTACAACTAGGTAGACGCACCGATAGTGCATGGGCTACAGTAGCTGCTCTAATTTATTCAAGAGTTTATGTGATATTCTTTGCATACGGTGATAAATACCGGATTTAAATCCTACCAGGTATTACATGCATGTATTTCTCTAATATTGCTGAGCCCCGTTAAACGTACGGCTGTTCGTCTGGTAATACATCCAGGTGACTATTAAATCAAGAAAAGGCATTTCCCTAAAAGAGCGTGGCGCGAATCCAAACATGTCAGGGGTCAATGCGCCCTCAACGTCTTAAAATAACTGTGCTGCGAACGGAAACAGTTGCACGATTACACTGACCTACCCATGACACAAAATATCGGTCAACTGGACGGGTATCTTATCACCATCAACTGCCCTTCTTCTGTAGAACGGTTTCATAGACTTGAGGATAGAGAATGAAGATAATTCTATGAAAGACCAGGCAACCACCATGTCAGATGAGAGAATCGACAGCAGGGAGCGGTCTGACACGCTGCGATCAGACAGAGGCACGCAGGTGATTATCACACAGAAGACGCACCGATATGGTATACGGGCTACTTGGCTGCTTTGATTTATTCAAGATTTAATGTGACATTTATAGCAGACGATAAAAATTACCCGATTTAAATCCTACCAGGTATTACAATGGGGAAACATTTTGTATTGGCGACCATAATAAAATTTTTCCCGCGTTCCAGCAGCCAGAGTTACTTATAGTAATGTCACTGCCACCCACAAACGCTACATCGCAAGACACAACATATAATATGTTAACTGAAATATTCTTCCATATTTTTTTTGTAAATGCGACTTTCGCGAAACACCGAAAACTCGCAATTTGCAAGGCGTTTTTACACTGAAAAGTAGGCTTCGCGAATGCATTTTTAAGCCACCACACAAACGCCCAGGGAAAAAGCCAGTCACCCCAGTAAAACAGCAAGAAGTCTAGTTTCCGAAAATAACTTGAAATCCCTTACAGACGCTTTCGTTGGAGAGATGAAAAACAGCATTTATAGACATCCTCCAATAAACTTGTTATTTGACCTCACTAATCGCCGATTGGCTGATTTAGGAGTGTATTATTAAACACCGTATACAATTTTATACGGTCGTTGGTAATATTTATTTACCAAATAAAGTGCCCGGTAGCATTTTATGGATGGCGGCCATATTTTACCCGGTAGCATTAATTTTGACCCGCATATCGCAAGCAGGGTAAAGTTATCCGCATTAAATGCTACCGGGTGACATACCAAAATATTCACACAACAAAGGGAATTACGCGGTTGCGGCAGTGTTCATACGAAAAACCACGCAGTAGCATCAAACCAGCATGTGTTGAAATGGCAAAAAATAATGCCCGCAGGCACATTTACTTAGTAGATTTCGAAGTCCTAGTATAGGATAGTACTTATCTCATTTTACGCTATATGTTTTATATTCATATTGATCTCCATTGCCACGAACCACTGTTTGACCAATCTTCTGGGTGTACTTTTGAGGACGACGACTACCAGTCGTCAATTTTTAGAGACAATATATATATTATTTTCATTCTAGACGCCCATGGATGACTTTGAGTCACAAGACAAGTGGTCGGACTCTCCTGCAGTCGTGGATGTGCCCGAGGCATTCCATGTGTTCTCCTACCTGCAGATTTTGACTGCTGTATTTGGCGCCTTCGCACACGGAGGAAACGACGTCAGGTAGAACCGCGACGTAGTAGAACATACGCGCGTGGATAATCAACGTGATGGTATACGGATCGCATAGGGGGAGGGCGAGGGGGACACGATATCACCTACAAAAGAGCGTAAATTGACACATGCGGCACAACAAAGGTGTGCGGGATAAGCGCTTGATACACAGCTAGGGGTACCCGCCACTGTACGCAGCAGAGAAATTAGCTGCATTGATTATTTTCGTCGTGTAATCAATGAACTAGTTCACTGCCCGTCGTCTGTGCACGGCTTTTCTCGCCGATTTACCACGTGTATAGATGGATGCTCTAGGCTGAGTCCGTAAATCCTTGATAAATTCTCGGCCTTCACCCGCAGTCACAGGGACGATTAGGGTCAGTCTATATTTAATAATCAAATGGAACAAAATCAAATGCAACAATATAATTAAAGGAGTTGAAAGTGGAGGAGTATGGAGGTAAAAAGATAGAAAGTCCCCCCGCTATAGAATATGAATTAACGGATGCGGACGCATCACGTTTGCATATTTTTATGTTTCAGCAACTGCATCGGACCGGTTGTTGCGGTCTATCTAATCCATGTGGAGCAGACTGTGACGACAACAGGAGAAACGCCTATATGGATCCTTATGTACGGAGGCGTAGGGATATCATTGGGTAAGAGCTAGCTGAATTTACGTACTAGTCTAGTCATTTTACCCACAAAATGCCCATTGAGACATACGGCCCTTCCTAACACGTACCTAACTTACACTTACAATCTGAATGCATAACATTTTTAGGTCTGTGGATTTTGGGACGACGTGTTATTAAAACAATGGGAGAAGATTTAACAGCCATCACGCCCACAAGGTGAGAACATACGCTAATGCATCATGCATATTATCAGGAGTGAATAATAATAATAATAATATATATATATATATATATATTATAATATATATTATAATATATATTAATAGAATATAATCTATTATTATTCACTCCTGATATTATGTAGTCCGTCAATGTGTAATTACGGAGCGTGAAGTATGAGATGTGTTTTTCCTTCATATTCACTCTCTGTTTTGCCTTCACATCTACTCTCTACCCCGTACTTATCTACCTCCTCATTCACCTCAACCGCCTGCTCATATTACCAATGAACGTCATTCCTCACACCAACTACTGCCTTCTATTATCCGCTTATCACCTCATTCTCTCGCGCGCTAAACCATAATATGACCATATCAGGTTCTATCTAGCATACATTATCATCCCATAATAGCGTCCGTGCCGCGCTGCATAACAAACGCTTTTTATCCTCATACAAGCACTTCCTCGCCTCTAACCCTAACCCTATCCTCAACTAATCAATAGACATTAGTCGCCACTTCCTCGCAACGTTGCCTTCAACACTCGCACTCCACCCCCTAACACGCTCATCGCATCCCCTAATATCTTCACCCCATCCATTCATTAACACCCTCATCAATTCCTAACATCCATCCTCCCTGCTTCCCTAACACTCTCACTCCATCCCCACCCCTCTGCTCACTCCCTAACACTTTCACCTAGCCCTAAACACCCTCTTCACTCTCTAACACCACCACCCAGCCCCTAACACCCTCAAAATTCCCTAACACACTAACTCCATCCTCACACACTGTTTTCCTCACCCCACCGTCTAACACACTCCCCCACCCACTAACACGCTGATTCACAAACCCGCTCACACACTCACCCATCCCTAACACGCTGATCCCCTCGATCTCCAACACGCTCACCCATCCCTAACACGTCCATCAAGTCACAATCTGACACATTTTGCCGTGAGAACGCGCAACATTCTGCCGGGAGAACGCGCAACATTCTGCCGGGAGAACGCGCAACATTCTGCCGGGAGAACGCGCAACATTCTGCCGAGAGAACGCGCAACATTCTGCCGGGAGAACGCGCAACATTCTGCCGGGAGAACGCGCAACATTCTGCCGGGAGAACGCGCAACATTCTGCCGTGAGAACGCGCAACATTCTGCCGTGAGAACGCGCAACATTCTGCCGTGAGAACGCGCAACATTCTGCCGTGAGAACGCGCAACATTCTGCCGCGAAAACGTGCAACATTCTGCTGCGAGAACGTGCAACATCCTTTTGTGCGAACCTTGTATCACCTCATCACACCCCAGCATCTTCTCTCTTGTTCGCACTCAGTGGCTTCAGCGTTGAGATCGGCTCGGCAATGACAGTGCTTGTTGCCTCCAACATGGGCATCCCCGTCAGCACGACGCACTGCAAGGTCGGCTCCGTCGTGTCGGTCGGCTGGGTGCGCTCCCGCGACGCTGTCGACTGGAGTCTCTTCCGCAACATCTTCATGGCATGGCTCGTCACGGTACCATGCAGTGGCGCCATCTCCGCCGGCATAATGGCGCTGTTCTTGTTTGCCTTCTAGCCGCCGCACGACAGATTCACCCCCGCTCGCCCATGCACCCCCAGCTATTGCGATTAGCTTATACCGTTAGTCTAGACGATATACGTTATACGTTAGTCTAGACATTTAGTCCGAAATGTAGCTAGCACCGCATCGCGCGATGGCAGCGATCAGGGAACGCGCGCACAGAAGCGGTTACATGCGAGGGAGCTCAAAGTAGGGGTGAAGAGATTGCGTGGGCGTTTGGTTGTTTGGGATTTAGCTAAGATGCCGTCGGACGCGCTAGGAGGCAGGCAGCTTAACCATACAGCTACGGCCTACTGATATTTCTATAGAAAATGGAGCGAGCGTGTGTTATATAATAATTGTCCATCGCAATCAGTAGGCCAATCCTATTGAGGCTTGCTTGCAAGAACGCACGCACACGCATACGTATATTATATATATAATAGATATATATATATATATATCACCCTTTAAAGTATAAAATGCAGTTTTTCGAGACGAATAGCGTTGGCAGTAATACTCGAGAAATTTCTTGCTGACATTGTGCAATGACGCATCTTTAAATATTTATTATAGAAATAGCCGGTGGCTTTTTATTGTAGACAACATTCTATCCCTAACTACGAGATTTTAATAATGCGGACAAAGGAAGCCGCGCTATCTGTGTATCTAATTTGTTCCCTTAGAGGCAATTAAAACATGAGTTGTATTGAAACTGATCCCACGCACTTTAACCAAACGAGGTTCTAGTTGGTTGAGTAAGGTAGCCTAAATCCACCATGGCATTGACTAACCAGACTTATGATAAAAGCTGGCAATTTAATTGTACGCGATATGCATTTTACGGAAAACCGACCGTTTTATTTGATATTAGGAACGCTAACGAAACAAAAATTTAATATCAGGCAGCGCATGTAAGATGTGGAGATGTTAAACGTTATGCTGTTACGCAGTCAGTTCCTCGGTATCGCTAATAACTTCAGAGCAGAATACGAACATAGCAATATTTCTAATTGAAAATAATTTTATTTTATTTGTAAAGAATACACCAACATCCACAACATTATAAATGTGTGGCGGCGTGAAGGTAAAAATATATTACTGATTTAATGATCAAAAAAAGAAGTAAAAGCTTTACTAATACCTAATGTGATGCGTTCTGCTACATCCGCTCACACAGCATCATTTGCTGTGCACACTGTTATCAGAGTAATTCAAAATCGTACGTATCAAGCGAAAATTGTGCGCCCATCAAAGATTAGCAGTTACACAAGCCACTAATCTGCCGCTATAGACGTCGCTGCGATATAAAGCTATTACATAGCGTATCAATTCAGCAGGAATGAGCAACCACAATGCACCTGCTCGTCTCTCTTGAATGCAGTCAGGAAAATCCTAACTAAAATTAAATCAGCTTCGTACCCGTACGGTTATACCAAACTAGTTCAGAGATTAAAAAAACATTTCCTAGGTTTCGCGCACGCATCCAGTGAGTGCTATGCCAGCGGTATTCATGCTTCATTAATTGCACGCTGCGCTCGGCGAAAGCGTTATATTGTGTACATTTATAACTTTCGTTAATAGAACTGCCTATCGAGGCAGAAAACGTAAGGTGCACGTGAGATATTTTTCGCAGTTTTACGCGCCAGAACCTGAACAGATTCTCCTTAACGTTCACCTGTCATAAACAGCTTTAAAAGATGGCCTTATATACGTGTAAATACATGTGGCCCAACAATCACTATTCGGTTAATTTCGTGATGCGACGAAAGGACTTTTTAGCTCATCTGACGTAGTCAGGTGCAGCTTGTAGAATCGCATGATCGTCCGTCCGTCCGTGCGTGCGTCCGTCCGTGCGTGCGTCCGTCAACAGTTGGGCACAAATCTTAACCGCTCGACGTACGGTCACGATATTCGGCACATTGGGGGGGATCGTCAAAACGAGTTGGGATGTCGAAGCTGGGGGTCAAAGGTCAAAGGTCAAGAGGTGTAAAAGAAGGGGGAACATTCACTCCTTAACTTAAGGTATAGGGAGGAAATGCAGAATTGCGGCACAAATCTAAACGGGTCGACCTAGGCTCGTGATAGTTGGTGTATAGCATCATGGTAGGAAAAGCCATCACTGTGCCGAAATTGGAGGTCACAGGTCAAAGGTCAATGGGCACAGGGCAGATTTTAGACATTTTCTGAGGACATGGTCTGACGGAGCGATTGAAAAACTTTTTTGTTTCAGCGGTGACCTAGCATTTTTATGGCATTATTGAAAGGACCATGAAATCTACTTTCTGCTGACATGCGAAGAGTAAGTGTCAGATAACCTTTTGACCCTCAAGAGGAGGGTTAAACATGGATGTGTTGACTGTCTGTTAGAAAGAATTTGACTGCCGGGTTTGCTAGTAGAATCTATACATGCCTGGATGTATGAGGCTACAATGTCACAGTGAAATTTCAAAAGCTAAATTTGGTTAAAGAAGGTTTATGCTCCTTAAATCGTATAATTTCTATGGCATTCTGTACTGTCAGTATGTTACATGTAACGTATGTCACTGCCAGTGGCTACTGCCAGTGCATGTGTTATTGGTACTGTGTAGTTTTTGCCTGCGTTAATTGGTTACAGGTGGCAGCTCTCTATTGCAGCCTGTAGGCTTGCGTAGGTAAATGGATGAGTGCTTACCTATTCTGTCTTGCAAATAGTTGTTGCTACTACGTACGATGGGAGCTTCCATCTTTAATCTGAAGACACTTAAACGTACGCACCATCTCGTGGCAACTTTCATAACGATCCCAACGAACGATCCTGATACCATCCCTGTGCATTCCACTGTTTCGGCGTGTATGTGAACACATTTGGGACTAACAGGGTTTACTAGAATCCCACCACTCCACCACAGAGTCACCGCAGTAGACGTTAGATGAGCGCTGTCGCTCCGCGGCACTTGTTTTCATTCACACGTTTTTCATCTATTTCACATATTTTTCATCTATATTTGAACTTTTTGTTACCTACCCGTAGTTTCCAAAATGCGCTATGAGACTGCCTAACACAGCTTCGTATAAGGTGCTGAACATATAGACCTAAACGCGAGGTCAGCTAGACTAGGTACATAGTATCTATTAATACATATATACAAAGTATTCATGTATCACCGTCTTCAAAGATGTGAAAGATAGCATCCAATGATCATTCTCTTGTTGGACATATAGTTGCTTGTATGAATAACATTCGAAAAACAAATTCCGCTATGCACATATATGTAATTTATTTGTCACGCGATTTCATGTAACAATTCAATATTTAACATGTAATACATCCCGTCATATACGATGTAAAATTAATTAACTGTACCAGCATAATTTTAATGATATATATTAAATCCTATCATATATATATAATTTATATAATCTTGATAATAAAATACTACTTGAGACTACGCTGTGAACTGCAACCGGGAGTCAGGATCATAAGGAAGATGACGTCAGTGGTTATGCGTGGCACCGTATGGGTGGTACCGGTGGTGAGCACGGCTTGGGTATATTACGTGTGGGTCAGGCAGTTTATTGGTGGTGCAGTGTCTGCGGAGGCCGCGATAGGCTCGGGTGAAAATTACTGCTCTTGGACTTGCATAGATAAGATGATATTTACAATCACTTAAGGTGCCATTCTTCTCCCATGACGATGAACACAACTTTTTCATGTGTAATTACAATAATACCCAGTGCACGTTTTGTTATATATAATTCGTTATACATAAAAAAATGTTATTACTGACAAATATTGTTAATTTTGTTTTACTATATTATGTCAAAACATGGAAAAATTTGCTTGGCTAGCCACGAGGTAGTAGCTAATAACATGATTTCACTGACTCTGGGGGCAAGGATAGCTAATCACCCGCCTACTAATTGTCCAGTTTACTCTGTTGCACAGGGAACTAACTAATCATTTGATGTATCCTGCCGAAACTTGTTTGATGAACGAATCGGCTAATTTTTCCGACCGAGTCTTGTGGAATAAACCAGCCGCCAGATAATCCTGACACGTGCATAGTGATGAAACCTAGTTTCCTTATATCCGTTCACAGACTAACAATACCTGACTGTCAGGTTTATGCTGCAGAGTGGCACACGGTGAATAAATCATAATTTAGAGATAATCATAAGCGGCTTACTGCATTTCGATAAGAGCAGCAACAAATCGTTGTTCCGTTTATAGCCGAACGATAGACTTCCACTGAAATGGCACAGAAGTGAACTCTGTATTAGTACAGTAGATTAGAAAAAAATCGTTCAAATTGTAAAAAAAAAGTATGAAAATTGGTACACTTGCATACTTTTGTATGCTCTTTCATTTAATGACAGGACACACGCGATCCAACTACAACTTCGGCCGCCATCTTGAATTCAAAAATGGCTGCCGTCATTTCTTAAAAAAATAGCTGTATCTCGGTTAATAATCTTCGTACAGACTTGAAAATTGACTGACAGACGTAATTTGGGTTACTATTTCATAAAACAACGTGATGCATGTGATCCAAGGGCGTTTTCGGCCGCCATCTTGAATTCAAAAATGGCCGCCGGCATTTCTTAAACAAGTGCCGCAGAGCGACAGGGCTCATCTGGTGGATGGTGTTCTGCTGATAAATTCATTTGTGCATAGCAAGACGTCCTATACATACGTTCATTTCTAACCCCAAAAAACAACACTTCAACCTAGTGTAATAAAATTCCGATAGATCGCGGGCCGATTGCAAAAAGCAGGAGTGAATAATTACCATATTATTACTATAGATAACGTGCGTTCTATGGTGTCAAGTTACCTTATTCATTAAACCCTTGCGAGGCACATCTAGGCTCGTTAAAAAAACCATTGAGCTAGATACAACCAGAGCAGCTCATGCAAGATTACAATTTACAGCAATACGATAGCAAATATCTGCAAACTAATTTCAGTACAAGGTAGGCCAGTGATTAGTGGATGGAATAAGCTCAAGAACGTACACACTTGCATCTATACTGGTGCCAAAATTTGATGAGAAAATTCAGTCTGGGAAATCCGCAGCCTCGCTGCTGGGTAATTATTTGAGTTCTAGTGACTGTATTCCAACTATTCATAATGTACAGTACACTACAGAATCTCATATATAAGTCATCTCATTATCTCCTAAGTAAGCGTTATTCAAGTAAGAGTTATGTGTGGAATTTCACTGTAAAATTGGAGCTTTCCACAACCACAGGACCTCGCCAACGCAGTTGAGAAACAAATCAATGTTTAACCCTCCTCTTGAGAGTCAAAAGGTTATCTGACACTTACTCTTCGCATGTCAGCAGAAAGTACATTTCATGGTCCTTTCAATAAAGCCATAAAAATGCTAGGTCACCGCTGAAACAAAAAAGTTTTTCAATCGCTCCGTCAGAAAAAAATGTTTAAAATCTGCCCTGTGCCCCATTGAACTTTGACCTGTGACCTCCAATTTCGGCACAGTGATGTCTTTTCCTCCCATGATGCTATACACCGACTATCACGAGCCAAGGTCGAGCCGTTTAGATTTGTGCCGCAATTCTGCATTTCCTCCCTATACTTTAAGTTAAGGAGGGAATGTTCCCCTTTCTTTTACACCTCTTGACCTTTGACCCCCAGCTTCGACATCCCAACTCGTTTTCGGATTACCCCCCCACATCCCGAATATCGTGACCGGACGTCGAGCCGTTTAGATTTGTGCCCAACTGTTGACGGACGGACGGACGGACGGACGAACGGACGGACGGACAGACACACGGACGGACGGACGCACGCTCATGCGATTCTACAAGCTGCATCTGACTATGTCAGATGAGCTAAAAACTGTATGGCAAAGACTCCATCATCCATGTAAAACGTGTTGAAAAAAATCAAATATTTCATAGACACAATAGAGCTTCACTATATATACACATAATATTGTTCAAAGTGATAATACAAATTACCACCTAACTTCAAGTGTAAATGATAAATTATTTTGTAGAGGCCTATAGCTTGCATGCTCACTAAGGCTGAAGGGGTCGTTGTCGTATATGTAGTACCCGAGGTGTCGGCGAGTATGTCGCCTACGCCTACTCCCTAACCCTAACCCTAACACCCTAACCCTAACCCTAACCATATCAGATAGTTACCTCGGGTACCAATTATACGCCATGCATAATTATACGACAACGACCCTTCGTGCCTCACTAAGACATGTTCACAGACTAGCATTTCGCACCATCTTACCTCTCCCTATGTCCGTGGCTATGTGAGGAAGACTCAGTATCATCCTCAAATCTTCCTTGTGTGTGAATTCCTTCAACATCACCCAGTAGCCTTTACTCACGTGTCGCAGACTGGAACACAAGACGGCAGCTACATGTCAGCAGACTCTCACTGGGGAGGGGTATAGCATATGGCCCTCGAATGTCATTACACTTCTACAGTTCGGTTTCACCCAGCGCTTTTCTGATGTATGGAGTTAAAAACAGTGTAGCTATTCATCCACAAACTATTCAGTATAAGAAAAAAATATAAGACAACATTAGCATCAACACTACATTTTGAAAACAGATTTATGGCACCAATCCCTGTAGATGGAACAATTAAGCCCTACATAATCAAATGAAAATTTAGTAGACATCGGTAAAACACATAAATATATATAAAGTACTCAGGTACCGGTACTGGCTACTAAATGCCTCACAACGTCATGCATTGTAGCAGATAAACATGATTTGTATATATGAATAATTAATGATATCAGATTTGCCTACTTGCTTTTTTACAAACGTGAAATCGTCTAGAATGTGAAAATAGTCTGCAATGATTGACGCTTTCTTCAAGTCTGGCAATTAACCAGAGAACTAGAAGTGCCAGCATCATAAACATTCGTGGAAGTTCGAGTTCACCCTGGGATAGGTGAAACCTGCTCTCTGCTATAGCTGCTCTCAACACAAAAGACTCTCAATTCTTCGTTCGTGTGCAAGTACATACGACTACACACGTGTGTAATGCAACCCGGCCCGGCTGCCTAGTCATACAGCATGCTTACAGACCAGATGAGCACTGCAGTAGTGCCAGTACTGTTTTTATTGGCAGCAGGGAATATTGGAGTCAGTACCGACGTGCACATGGTTTTACGAACATTCTCAAACTCTCGTCTTGTAGAAGGTCTCTCTTCCAGTACCACGAAACCAATCATAAACCCATATCATACATTCATTTATATAAGAGGAAGTATTCTTAGCAATAAGGGTCATGTGTGTATCACATAATGACAGGCAAGAGAACTTACACATTTATTTCTGACTAGCTGGGGTACCTGGCATTGCCTGAGGAGAAAAAAACTAGTAAAACAACTCATACAGAAAATTCTGACATATATACACAATTAATTACAAGGATGGAGTCGTAACAGAGGAACAAAATATGAGGTAAACAATACGCTGAAAAATTCATGATTCTATGTAGTCAAAGCACATGTATGTTGTTCCTCTGTCTCTGCAGCTCGCTTGCTGCATGCTGAGTGCGGTCCTTCTCAAGGTGTTGCAAACGTTGCTCTGGAGCTTCTTCAGTTGCTCTCCTGGTTACCAGGTGGTGCCGGTTACTTGGAGCTAGACTTTGATGATCTTCCTCCATCTCAGCTGCTCCTCTAGCTGCACGTCGAGAGCGGTCTCTTTCATGGTGCTGTGTGCGTTACTCTGCAGTTTCCTGTCGTCGGGCAGCAGACTTTCGCTAACCATAAACATGGAATTTCCAAGTTTCCAGAAGGTTCTATTGTGAGGTATTATTAGATGTTGATGTAATGTATAGGAATCTTCTAGAAATTCCCATTGTGTAATATATTTTACTTCATAACAAAGGCTGTATCTGGCTTCGTTGGCCGAACCTTAAAGAGTCTATATAGACGAACAGACAAACAATCACCAGAAATATTAGTATCTACATAGTTTGACACACGCGCTTGTAATTCCATGTGAACACTTTTTTTGTTTTTTTCCCCTCCACTCATCCATACAAATACATTCCATACAAATACATAGATACAAGTACATACTATTCAAGTACATGTATACAAATCCATACATTCCATACAAGTACAATTCATACAAATACATATATATCAGGAGTTAATAATGACAAATTGTCATTATTGTCAATAATTTGTCATTATTAACTCCTGATATATATATATATGTTTGTAACAATGCAAATGATACGTTATAAAAGATTAAATTACTGGGAACTAGATGGATGGTGTTGCGTTATGTTGAAATAGAGATAGAGATTGGATAGATAAATGTTATGTAATGAATATAATGGGTGGAGGTTTTTTTAAATGAAATATGATAGAGAAAGAGAGAGAGAGAGAGAGAGAGGAGGAGGAGG